AACACTTCCGAGAACTGTTGTTCCACCTTGTCCGTATGACACAAATCAAAATTGATGAAAAGGACCAAAAGTCCAAGGATTTCCTGAAAGCTCAGGTAACTGCACTTATTACTACAAAAAATTCTGAGGGGGCTCATTTTGGTGCAGTGTTTATTAGAAATCTATTGCTGGAAATATCCTCCATATCCCAGTAACTATAAATTTTTCATGAATGAGACTCAGTCATGCACTGAAAAATAGTTCTAGAATTCAATTAGCAATAGTCAGCAATCTACAGAAAAGAAAAAAGAATCACAGTAAGCAGAGGATTTGAACAGTTGGTGATTTATTTCAGTACAATAACTGGGTGGGTTTGGGGGGTCCCTCCAGTGGACAGGGCAGGCAAGTGCATGGGCCACAGATAAAACCTGGGATCCACTACCATCTCCGATCCCACTGTGATTTGCCTAGAAACAACTTGAGCAGTAGCATTTGACAATTCCCCCAACCCCCAGGTTTATCCAGCAAGCATCATTCAAACCAGTACCAGGATACCCTTGCTTATTGCTTCTCACTCCATGATTTCTCAGACTCCTGCAGAGTACCAGAGAGGGCCTGGTGCAATATCCCAAAATAAAACCTTCCTGTCATGCTAGCTAAAATTCTAACATTAGAATCATTTGTTCCATGTAAGGATTATATCCAGATTATACCCAGAAATTCCTTAAGGGATATGATATGACATATTACTAAGAGTATTTGAATTTATCATATGAGCCATATATTGGCCGTTTCCAAGTGAAACCTTTGTTCTCATTTTGGATAAGTATTTACATAGGACAACACTTCTTCTCATTTTCCAGAAAAAAAAAAAACTCACACCAGAGCATTTGTAGCAATGGGATTAGATTTTGCAGAGAGAAAGATCTAATCATAGCAAACTCTTCACATCCTCCATTCACTATTTTTCCATCTTAACATTTGAGAAACTGAAAGAAGTTCATCATAGTTTACATAGGGGAAGATGGGAGAAGGGATGTCAAATGGCAAAACCAGAGAGCAGGAGAGGTGAGATAGGGAAGGTTACTCAATCCACATTTTGATTTTGATTCCATCATGAAGACTGCAATAATCCCGTAGAGTCCCTGGGACAGGTGGATTCCAACAGAGTAAAGAAGGGGAAAATGGTTGCAGGAATGGGAAGGAAAGGCAACCAGACAGGAGAGAGGGTGTGAGGGGAGGAGCAGAGTAGCAAAATCAAAATGAGCTCATTCACATTGAAACATAAGATATTTCTTCCTTTTGAGATCTGGAAGCTGATAAAGGGAAAATATTTATTCCTTGAGTGTTCTTAGCAGTGGGAATTGCTCCATTAAAGCTATAGTTTGCTGTCAATTTCTATAAGAAGGCATTAGAGCTTATCATTTTCCTTTCATACAACGTCTACATTCCTTTTTTAAAAAATGATAAAAGGTATAGAGGAAATATAGTGTCATCTATCACCCCCCCAAAAAAAAACAGTAGATGGAACTATATTTTTATACCTATTTAATTATTCACACAGTTACCTAAATATTAGTTTCTTCTTTTCCATTCTAAGAGTTATGGAAAAGCACTTTAAACATTGCTTCAGCCTCTCATGAAATATTGGAGGGTTTCATGCATAAAAATTTTCGCAGCTTCCTATAAATCATCTTTGCATGTCTATCTTCSAGAAACTTTACACTCACCCTGTCCAGTGATGCAGTCCACAATTACTCTTCTCTCAATAGTTCCTCAAACCTCAAACCAACATAATATTCCTTATGTTACCCTTTGGCCTCGCCCATTTGAACCAGTTCAGCTAGCAATTTTCAGATGTGCCCCGAGTCCCTCCACCTGATCTACACAACCCAGCATGCCAAGAGAAATAGTTCCTTCACTGATGGGAATGAAGTGGGGTTCAGCTGGGGGTATTCATATTATTTCATATATAAGTTTTATATTTCAGCAAAAATATAACAACATTGTTAAAGAAATCAAAGCAAAGGATCTTGAAATCAGAATATACAGGAAGAAAAAACGTGAAATTTATCGAAGGTAAGGAAAAAAATCACATGATTATCTATTTGGTGGGGCAAAGTTGATTTTTTTATTTTACACAGTTCAAAAAACTTTGTATTTTCATAGGCTCAGAGAGTTTGCAAAGTTGTATGACACAATTCGAAATGAAAGAAACAAGTTTGTTAACCTACTTCACAAAGCTCACCAGAAAGTAAATGAAATAAAAGAAAGGCATAAAATGTCATTAAATGAACTGGAAATTTTAAGAAATAGTGCCATTACTCAGGACAGGTAAGAGTTACAATAACTAAAATCCTTTGAAAGTCATACTGGGGAATCTTAAGATCCAAAATAATAGTTTAGAGAGCTGGGAAAGCCTGTTTAAACACTGTTTCCTAGATAATAATCTAAGCTTCGGAACACAATTGCTTATGCTTGTTTGGGAGACACACTTTTTTCTTTTTCTGTATTTTTTATGGATGCATCATAGTTGTGCATACGGGTGGATTTGTTGTTACACGTTAATACGTGCACACAATATGACAATATAACTGGACCGTTATCCTTCCCCAGTATTTCCCTTCCACTATACTGCTCTCCTTTCAATTTTCATGAAATTTTCCCAACTACCTTACTTTCCTTTTTTCCTCTCTAGCTTCCACATGAGATAAAACATACAACCATTGACTTTATTTCCCTTAACATAATATTCTCAAGTTCCATTAATTTTCCTGAAAATGACAATTTCATTCTTCATTAAGGCTAAATAAAACTCTATTATGTATGTATATCACATTTTCTTTATCCATTGCTGGACAGATATAATGTATAAGTATTTAATATGATTTTATGATTGTCATTTGCCCAATTAGAAAAATCCAACTCTGGTAATCTGCACTTGTTAGAAAACAACCAAATTGTCTATTAGTCTGCATCCTCTGGTTGTAGATTTAAAGCACCTAATGAACCTACAGGAGGCAATACCGGAGAGCAATTAAGAGAGGGGACTTCCTAGATGCAGATCCCAGCTCTGCCACATACTAGCTGACTGACCTTGAACAAGCTCTTTTATCTCTAGACTCACTTTCCTTTTCCATTAGAAGAGTCTTTATTGCATAGGACTTTTTATTATTATGTGAGCTAATTGGTGTAATAGCACATAGAAGGGTGTCTGGCAAATGGTAGTTTTATTGATTTATTATTTGCCATATGCTACATTGGACTCTTTTACCCATGTTAGATCCTGATCTCCTGAGTCTACACAATGTGAACTTTTTCCATTGGCTTTTTATTGTCCAGTTTCCTTTAATAAACACATTACAAAATGGCTTCATTTGGAGAGTGGTAGGTATAGAAAGAAAAAATATAATTTCCCAATCAGGTTCTCACCCAACAGGAAAGTTAAATATCATTTACAGAGGCTGTGATCTCATTCAGCACCAATTACGGCCCACACTAAAGTGCAGGCACCAACTCAGGTCCAATAGATGCCTTCAGATAGGACCACCTTGTCCTCAGGAGAGCAGCCTCTGGAGGACAGCAGAGCAAGAATGACTGACTATAGTTTCTTGCTTTGACAAAGGTGGGGGGGAGGAGTGGCAAAATCCTGGGCACCAAGGAAAGGTGTCCTATTCTGGATGGAGGGAAGAGTCTGAGACCCGGGACGATTACAAAAACTCCTGAATGGTATCCGGAGTATCACTACTATTACTACTGTCATTTCAAGAGCCATGCGAAAGCAAGAGCTACTTTGAAATGGTTATGTCTCAGAAGTCCTCATTAGACTCATAATCTTAGCCACTGTCCCGTTATTTTAAAAGAAAGCTACAAAATTCTGTGTTGAAACATGCCAACAACGTTACTATCAGAGAGAGCATGCAAAACGATGTGTGCAAAATCTTATCAAAACTTCA